TTTTTCTTGTTTCTTGAGATAGGCCTGGATTGCAATGTATTTTCCTCTCAGGACTGCCTTCACTGCATGCCAAAGTGTTTGGATTGCTGTTTTTTCATTTTCGTTTGCTTCAATATATTTTTTAATTTCTTCTCTAATTGCCTGGTTGACCCATTCATTCTTTAGTAGGGTGTTCTTTAACCTCCATACTTTTGGAGGTTTTCCAGACTTTTTCCTGTGGTTGATTTCAAGCTTCCTAGCATTGTAGTCTGAAAGTATGCATGGTATGATCTCAATTCTTGTATACTTATGACGGGCAGTTTTGTGACCCAGTATGTGATCTATCTTGGAGAATGTTCCATGTGCCCTCGATAAGAAAGTATATTCTGTTGCTTTGGGATGCAGAGTTCTAAATATATCTGTCAAGTCCATCTGATCCAATGTATCATTCAGAGCCCTTGTTTCTTTTTTGATCCTGTATCTAGATGATCTATCCATTGTTCTAAGTGGGGTATTATATTCCCCTGCAATTACCACATTCTTATCAATAAGGTTGCTTATGTTTGTGAGTAATTGTTTTATATATTTGGGGGCTCCGGTATTCGGCGCATAGACATTTATAATTGTTAGCTCTTCCTGGTGGATAGACCCTGTGATATTATATAAAGCCCTTCTTCATCTCTTGTCACAGCCTGTAATTTCAAGTCTAGTTTTTCTGATTTAAGTATGGCTACTCGAGCTTTCTTTTGACTTCCAGTAGCATGATAGATAGTTCTCCATCCCCTCACTTTCAATCTGAAGGTGTCTTCAGGTCTAAAATGAGTCTCTTGTAGACAGCAAATAGATGGGTCTTGTTTTTTTATCCATTCTGATACCCTATGACTTTTGGTTGGCGCATTTAGTCTATTTATGTCCAGTGTTATTATAGAAAGATATGGGTTTAGAGTCATTGTGATAGCTGTAGGTTTCATGATTGTAGCGATGTCTCTGGTGCTTTGTCTCACAGGATCCTCCTTAAGATCTCTTGTAGGGCTCGTTTGGTGGTGATGAATTCCTTCAGTTTTTGTTTGTTTGAGAAGACCTTTATCTCTCCGTCTATTCTAAATGACAGACTTGCTGCATAAAGGATTCTTGGCTGCATATTTTTTCTGTTCATCACATTGAAGATTTCCTGCCATTCCTTTCTGGCCTGCCAAGTTTCAGTAGAGAGGTCCGTCACAAGTCTATCAGTCTCCTTTATATGTTAGAGCCTGTTTATCCCAGGCTGCTTTCATAATTTTCTCTTTATCCTGTATTTTGCCAGTTTCACTATGATATGTCATGTAGAAGATCGATTCAAGTTACGTCTGATGGGAATTCTCTGTGCCTCTTGGATTTCAATGCCTTTATTCTTCCCCACATCAGGGAAGTTCTCAGCTATGATTTCTTCAAATACACCTTCAGCACCTTTCCCTCTCTCTTCCCCCTCTGGAATACCAGTTATGCATAGATTACTTCTCTTTAGTGCATCACTTAGTTCTCTAATTTTGCCCTCATACTCCTGGATATTTTTATCTCTCTTTTTCTTAGCTTCTTCTTTTTCCATAATTTTATCTTCTAGTTCACCTATTCTCTCCTCTGCCTCTTCAATCTGAGTCGTGGTTGTCTCCATTTTATTTTGTAGCTCATTAATAGCATTTTTCAGCTCCTCCTGGCTGTTCCTTAGTCCCTTGATCTCTGTAGCAATAGATTCTCTGCTGTCCTCTATACTGTTTTCAAGCCCAGCTATTAATTTTATGACTATTTTTCTAAATTTAATTTCTGTTACATTGTTTACATCCTTTTTGATCAGTTCATTAGCTGTCGTTATTTCCTGGAGATTCGTTTGAGGGGAATTCTTTTGTTTCATCATGGTGTGGAAGTGCAGGACACTTCCCCTGTGCTGTCTTGAATAACTTACTTTGGTGGGTGGGGCCGCAGCCAGACCTGATGTCTGCCCCCAGCCCACTGCTTGTGCCACAGTCAGACTGGTGTGTACCTTCTCTTCCCCTTTCCTAGGGGCAGGATTCATGTGGGGTGGCATGGCCCATCTGGGCTGTATGCACACTGCCAAGCTTGTGGTGCTGGGGATATGGTGTATTAGCTGGGCTGGATCATCAAGTTGCACAGGGGCAGGAGGGGCAGGCTCAGTTCGCTTATTCTTCAGTGATCAGATTTGGGAGAGGGATGGATCTGCAGAAGCACAGTATTGGGTGTTTGGGATGTGCAAGCAAGTTCCCTGACAGGAACTGGTTCCCTTTGGGATTTTGGCTGGGGGATGGGTGAGGGAGATGGCGATGGCGAGAGCCTTTGTTCCCCGCCAAGCTGAGCTCTGTCGTCTGGGGCTCATGACTCTCCCTCCCATTGTCCTCCAGCCTTCCTGCTCTGCGAGCAGGGCTGTTAACCTATAACCTCCCAGATGTTAAGTCCCACTTGCTCTCTGAACACACTCTGTCAACCCCTCCGCTTTTGCAAGCCAGACTTGGGGCCTCTGCTTGGCCAGCGGGCTGCCCCTCTGCCCCGGCTCCCTCCCAGCAGTCCGTGTAGCATGCACCATCTCTCCACCCTTCCTACCCTCTTCCATGGGCCTCTCGTCTGTGCTTGCTCTAGAGAATCTATTCTGCTAGTCTTCTGGCGGTTTTCTGGGTTATTTAGGCAGGTGTAGATGGAATCTAAGTGATCAGCAGGTGGTGGTGAGCCCAGCGTCCTCCTACACCACCATCTTCCCAGAAGACCTATATTTGCACACTTTAAAAGCTGTTTCCAAGAGCCTAGCATTCAATCAGCCTAAATTTACGTGATGACTGAGATCCCTCTTTGGGGGCACTGATAGGTTTGGCACACTCTGAACAACTGGTTGCTATTTACAAATAAAATAGGTAGCTTGGGCTGTCAGAAAGATTCAAGACATAACAAAGAACTAGGATAGGTTGAACAATAACTGACAAGATAAAACCTCAGGGGGGAAAACTTTCATGAAACAGAGATAAGTAATTGTGAAAATTAATATAGGAATACCTCACTAAAGTGGATTTATGGTACTAGAATGCAAGGCTTCAAGGGGGTGGGAGTGTCAGTACCACTTAATGTCAATCTTATGATGAATTGTCAATTACACGCTTTAACAGGAAAGAATAATAAATTCTAAGTCCCCAAAAGACGTACATTGCATCTCCTATAAGGAATTGACTACCCCTACCTCAGTCAATAAGGAAACAACATCACTCTGAACTTTTGCTTTTCTCCTATGGACTTTCATTCAGAAACCTCCCCCCCCCCAACACCCCGCCAACTTTTTTCTTCTCAAAAAGCAACACTAATTTCCTTTGTTTGATTATGGTTTTGCCACAGCTTGTAATTGTCCCAAATTACAATTTCCTATTTCCGAATGAACTGATTTTTACTGGCAATGTAATTAACTGGTTTATATCTAACATTATTTAGTGATTGGAAGTGGGATCTTGAGAAGATCCATGACAGCTCTGAGGATGGTGAAAATAGATGTTGATGCCCACAAAGCCAGTTGAGCTCATTGCTTTCTTGCCAACTCTAGAGTTTGATGGTAAGTTCTCCTGGATTTCTATCTTTGTTCTCTTTGTGTTTGATTTCAGGTTTTACTTGTGATATGTTTTAAGGATTTGTCATTTCTGAGAGTACTTGTTGGCCTTTGCTCTGATGGCTTTTCAGAATGGGAGTCTTTCTGTTGGAACTGTGTTGGCCTATGGTCTGACTCCTTTTTGTTGGAACTGTGCCTGTTTGAACTGTGTTAGCCTTTGTTCCAAATTCGTTTTGGAACTGGAATGTTCTTATTGGAGGTGTACTTTCTTGTTAAGTCTTTTAGAAATGGCTTATTCATATTGGCATTGTGCTGGCTTTTAGTTTGATTCCTTTTGGAGCTGGGCTGTTCCTGTTGAAACTGTACTGTTTAGGAATTTTTATGTATTACTTTAGAGAAAAACTTTTACAAAATGGGATTCTAGTCATCATAAGGCTTTGAGGGAGTCCTTACTTCTGGTACCCTGATTGGATTTTTGTTTAAAACCTGCAGTCTTTCCTCATGGGTATGGCTAACTGAATGGACCAATTTAACTAAAAATAACTTAGAAATCCAGTGACTATTATGGGATAATTTTGAAAACCCCAAGGTTTTCTCAAAACTGAATTAGACATCCATGGCTCTAAAATTGTCAGAAGTGAATGAGATGCCTCTTTTGACTAGTATTATGAAGCTTATATAATACATAAAATATATTTTATAGGAATATAAAATTGCCTCTTTGCCAAATATGTTTTCTAGACTGAGGGAAGGAGGGAGGGAGAGTGGGAGGAAAAAAGGAAGGAAGGAAGGAAGGAAGGAAGGAAGGAAGGAAGAAAGGAAGGAAGGAAAATAAAGAAAAGGCTTCTGAGGTCTCTTTTTTCTCCTTTGTCATCTTCTTTGAAGATGCATGGCAGCTGTCTTGTGTTCAGGCAGGCCATACCTTCAACATGATTTTCCTCTACTTTCTCTGCACCATCCACATGTCCTCAATCCCCCACTCTTTCATTCTATTTTTAAACTTTTTAAAAGTTTATTTATTTATCTTGATAGAGAGAGAAAGATGAAGGGGTAGGGACAGAGAGAAGGGGAGAGAGAGAGAATCTGTGCTAACAGCATGGAGCCTGTTGTGGGGCTCAAACCCACAAACCATGAGATCATGACCTGTGCCAAAATCAAGAGTTGGATGCTCAACTGACTGAGCCACCCAGGTACCCCCTTTCTTTCATTTTAATTCTTTTTCTGAATTTCCCTTTTCCTCCAAACTTCTCTCTACTCCTTCTTCTCTTGAACTATTAAAACCTGTGTCTTTAATGTTAAATCTTATGAGAATCCAAATAATCCCACAAATTTCTTATATTCCCTAGACTAAGTCCGAGTTATGAATCATGTTAAAGAGTCACTTGAAGTGACTGAAAACTCCAAGGGTTGCTGAAGAATTTAACATGGTTAATTCAAATTTACTAACCTGGTTTATCAGATTTACATTAATTAGTCCACATGCTTATTGGTGAGGGCCATTGCAAACATTGGATAAAATTAGCCTAATAGGAATACCCTGAAAAAGAAATAGAGAAACAGACCTCCTAGCGAGAACATTTGACAAGAACATTTACCAGGAATCTTCACTGAGCAATTGCAGTGGCTTTACCTAAGCCTGTTGACTGGAACAAAATTCAGGCTTACACGCAAAAGCTTGGTAAACCTGTTCATGACTATTACAAAAGACTGCAAATTGTCTTTAAAGAAAATTCTCATCTTCATTTAGATGCTGAATTCAACCAGGCAACATTTAACTCAATGTTTATTAATGAACAGAACTGTGAACTTTCTCATTTTGTTTAAAGAACAGAATGGAATGGGAAACTACATCCACAGCATATTTAGTTACCTTGGCAAACCAACTCACTCATACCATAGATAATTCACCTAAAATAAGTACTACTAAAATTATTAACTTTCAGCTCTAGAAAATGACCTCAAAAACCCCAAAGCACCCTGGTTTCTGCTATTATTGCAAAGGAACTGGAAAAGATTGTTAGAAACTTAAGTGCTTCAGGCACCTTCAGCCCTTTATCCAGACTTTCCAATACTCTCCTAATTCCTAATGATGATGCCCCAGGAAACTACAGAGGCTCCTCCCAATCTTTCCTCATATTCACCTTGGAAAGACCACACTCGAGATTGGAAACGAATATTTCTCCATCCTTATGGACACTGGAGCTACATTTCTGGTGCTCAATTCCACTGCTATAAAGTAACTCCTGCCTTAGAGTACTAAACCAGTTTAAGCAGTTTTTTTTTTAATAAACATCAACAGATTCCTGTCTCAGAACTCGTTCACATTTGTTTAGGCCCTTTGAAAGATACTCATCCTTTTCTCCTTAGTCCCCCACTCCTTTTAATTTACTGGGGTGAAATTTCTTGGAAAAAAAGTATTATGCCAGGAGAAAAGGGGTAAATACTTTTAGAATTTTACAGTAGTGATACAAATAACCAATTAGGTGAATTAAATGATAATTTGACATCTTTTATTTGCATAATCATTGACTGCACTATAGCTGAGTCTGGAGACACTGATTATTTGGCTTTATTAGATCAGCTATCATCCTCTTTATGGGTCAAATCTACAACTTTAATTGGCAGAATCCAAAGTACATCTCCTATCAAGATTCAAATAGATCCCTCAAAACCTCCCCTCAGAATTATTTACAAGTGAAGCAGCCTTTGCGGCATCCATCCCATTGTAGAGGATTACAAGGCTCAAGGCCTCATTGTCCCCTGAACTAGTCCCTGCAACACCCCCATTTAACCCGTGAGAAAACCCAATGGCCAAGTTTGGAAGTTTTCCCAGGACTTCCAGGCAATAAATAACATTGTTATCCCTTGACGTTCTTTTGTTCTCAACCACAATATTCTGACATCCATTTTCAATAAAAGCAACTCTTTCACTGTAATTGATATATGCAGTGCATTTTTAGTATTCCAGTTGACATGGATAACCAATACATGTTTGTTTTCACTTGGGAAGAATCATAATATACCTGGAGAGTAATGTTCCAAGGTTACACCAACAGTTCTTTTTACTTTTCACAAGTCTTAAAAACTGATTGTTATCATCTGTAGGCTCTACGTTGTTAGAATACATAGATGATTTGATTTTCTGCTCCCTTCTCAAATCTCTTGACAAGAAGACATAATCCACCATAGGGTATTATAGTCAACAGATAGAACCTGTAGCATGGGGATGTCCCTCTTGCCTGACAGCCATTCCTGTCAGTGCCTTTTCAGTTAAAGCCACTGGAGAAATAATCATGGGATCCTTTTTAATTGTCTATGTGTCCCATGCAGTTAAAACTTTTTGTCTTAAATGGACACAAAGCTTCCAAAGAAAAAAAATTGCAGTTTGCTTAGATACTTAGTGAACCTAATCTCAGAACAGAGGCTGCATTTGAATCTAGGTAGGCTTCACAGCATCCTGAATTTCACCAAACCTAAAACTAAACACCAACTATGAAAATTTCTTGGACTGGCTAGCTACTGTCAAAAGTGAATTCCATTTTTTTTCTCTATGGCTCAAACCCCATATGTTTTACTAAAAAATGACAAATCTTACTCTACTGTGTGGAAAGATTAGGAAGATGTAGTATTTGAGACTTAAAATAAAAGACTAATAGAGCTGCACTGGGGTAAAGGACTCAGAGGAAGCATTCCTGGATGACCACTGGGACTTGACTTTCTCTTACTTTGGTTAAGAAAACCACTCAGAAAAAAAAAAAAGGACCAATATAAGACCCAGCCAGGGTGTTCTGATTTTTCTCTCCTAGTATGAATCTTCCCTCTTAGTCACCATTAAATAGCCTCCATTCCCAGGTCCTTTGTTTTGAAAATTGGGTCCTTGCTCCTGTAATGGTATAGAGACCTTGACTTTATGAAAAACCTGACGTACCAGATTCACTGAACTTGTTCATAAAGTTCAAATACAGAAGTGTAGATGCTGATCTCACATACTTGGGCCACCCTGGCATTCCCTGCAAGATTAATTACATACATACATGCTCAGGTGCCTTTCTCCAGCTCTTCTCTAGCCTCCTGGTCCCACTAAATCTCCTTAGTAAAACCAAACGTTTTTGAGCACCTTTCCTGCAGGTCTGTAAAATCATTTCCCACTCAGTCTTGGTGGCTCTGTTCCCTAATCCTGGCCCTGTATTGGAGGTGGAGCTGGGGTATGGGTGAGACCATGAGGAGCCCAGAGTCTGTGATAAGAATCTTTACCGAGTGATGGTTTTGTTTTGTTTTGTATGGAGACCAAAGATCTTAAAATATTCAGAGAAGTTAAAGTAGCAGAGAAGTAAGGGAACTGGGGTTTCTCTTGTTTATCAAACACAGCTGTATTGATCACTTAGAACACCCAGGATATCAATCTGTGGAGTGGCAGAAGGATCTCCACAGGTGGAAGACAATAGCATGGCAGGATCAAGGTGCGTGTATGTGAATTGTGGGAGATAAAACAGTGTAGGCACAGAGGGGAAGAAACCCCTTCTGTGGAGAGACAAAAGGGAGAGAAAGAGGGAGGGCTTCAGTGTCTATTTAGCACAAGAGGAAAATCTGTCTGGATCACGGACTGGGGAATGAGAAACATGAAAAGTTCCAGTTTCTATTTTGCAAACAGCCTTAGGAGCTGAAGCTCAGAGGTTTCAAAAGTGTGCAACTTTCTCTGGACCAGAGCCAGCTGTGTGTGCATGCCTGGGGGTGGGTGGGTGGGATGAGGAGCTGGCTCTGGGGCACTGAAGCAATCTCACAGTGCACTGGGAGAGAACAATTCCCTCCCTAAGTACTGTGGGAAGAGGGTATATTGCCTCTGCAAAGGCTAAAGACCCTGTAGGTGCTAGCTAAGCTAAAGGCCTTTAATCGGTAGGGCTGAGGGGGTGCTCCACCAGAACAGGGCCTACAAAGTGCAGGGCCCTATAAAACATCAAGTTTTTAATCCCAGCCAAGTGCCTAGAAGCCACCAGAGAACTATGGAGCACGGCAAGCTGATCACCAATGCTAATTTGTGATGTGTGCCTGAATAGCGTGTTTTGAGACACCTAGACCAGGGAGGAGGGATTGGGGTGTCTCCATTTTTCTCTCCATCACCAACACAGTGGAACTTCATAGAAAGCACAGTGGCCCCCAGTGGAGGTGCGCCATTTACACCAAACCCCACTCCTCTGTGACTAGCAACAGCTTATCTACTAGAGGAAGAATGACACTGAGCCAACCAGACAGCCTCTCCTCCAGACCAGCATAGCCACAGGTTCCAGGCACCAACAGACAATGTTTTTTTGTTTTTGACTGTTTATCTTCCCATTTGTCACTTTGCTCTGTTCCTCTCTTCTTTAATCTTCTCTTCAATTTTCTTTTTCTTTCTACCCTCTTCTTTTTTATTTTTTCTCTTGGAATCAGGTTCATAGTTTCTGATTTCTTTTTATATTTCTGATTTCTATATATCTATATCTATATTTATATCTATGTCTATACATATGTAATTCTCTCTGGTTGGTTTGTTTGTTTAAACAGGCATTTTTACTGTTTTTACACTTTTTTTCTAATTTTTTTTCTTTATTTTCCTTTCTCTCTGGGTTAATACCTTATAGTTCTTTTGATTCTCTGCTTGGTCTTCTTTTCTCCCTTTTCATTTTCACTTTGTATGGGATAATGCTAACCACCCCCCTCATTTTTTTCCCACAGTTACTTCAGTGAATGAATCAAAGCACACCTGGTTGAGGATACAAACACTTCACCACTACAAGCAAGGAGACACTTTGAAGAGGACTGACAGTGGGATATAGAAGTCAAAACGCAACAACAGGTGCACACAACACACTCCAAAAACACTACCTGAAGTGCTATGCCCTGAACAGTGTATGATGCCTTTGTAATATATTAGTAGTCACACATGCAGGACATATAACAAGCTATTAAAACATGTAAAAGACATAAACTGAACGAAAATTATGAGATGGAATTCATCTCCTCAAAGAAAATTCAGGAAAAAAAGACATCCAAAGAATTACTCAAAACAGATATAAACAATATATTTGAACAATAATTTAAAATAAAAGTCATAAGACTAATATCTGGGCTTGAAAGAAGCATAGAAGACACCAGAGAAATCATGGTGGCAGAGATCAAAGATATAAAACTAGTCAGGATGAATTAAGAAATATAACAAATGAGATGCAAAACAAACTAGATACAGTGACAGTGAGGGTGAAGAAGCAGAGGAGAGAATAGGGGAAATAGAAGGTAAAATTATGCAAAATAATAAAGCTGAAAAAAAGAGAGAAAGGAAATCACTAGAACATCATGGAAGAATTAGAGAGCTAAGTGATTCCATAAGACTAAACAATATACATACTATAGAAGTACCAGAAAAGAAGAGTGAGAGAAAGAGGTGTAAAGTTTATTTCAATAAATTATAGCTGAAAACTTTCCTAATCTAGGGAAGGAAACAGGCATCCAAGCCCAAGAGGCAAAGAGAACTCCCTTCAAAATGAATGAAAACAGGTCAATG